GACCTGAAATCCCCATGAACAATCCACAAATATGGCCTTCGGTGCTTGATTTGAAGCTGGCTAGAAGTTTTGGATGGGCAAACTGTCGAAAAATGAGATTTCCCAAAAAACAATTCACCATAATGTGAAAGTGAAATACTGAGGGTTTCCGTAAAATGATATTCTTGCCTATTTGAACCTAAAAAATGGTCAAAAGTGCTTGCTTTTTATAACTGATTTAGATTTTTCGGACCATATTCCACAACTTTTGCCTTATTTGACTCACTGTTTAACGTGAAAAATTCTTAAATCACGCATTTGAAAATTAAATGTTGAGAATATACGAAAAATAATAATTTTGCATATTTGAACTCAAAAAACGTACAAAGTAATTGGTTTTTTTTGCTGATTTAGAATTTTTCGGTCATTTTCAACAATTTTTGACTTATTTGCAACATGGTTTTGCGTGAAAAATGCTTAAATCCCGCATTTGAAAGTTGAATCTTTAGGATTTAACAAAATTCGGGAAAATCACGATTTCAAAGCCCCATAACGCATATCGAGTGTACTCGTAAGAACAATTTTTCTTGTTTTCGACCAAATTTTATGCTTTGACTTTTTAGCTGTTTTTTTTTTGCCGTTTTCGCAAAGTTGAAAATTAAAGTATTTCCGTAAAAAACCGATCGATTTCTGCCCTATGGAAAAATTCTTTTCAGAGGTCGCTTTAGTGCTCCGATTCGTGTTTCATTTTTAGTAAACATCAACAACTACACAGATTTTACGTTGTTCCCCACACAGAGATACACAAACAACAATGCAGTGTCCACATTCATTATATCTTTCGGCATCTGTCGCTCTCTGTATCATCTATAGTGATGCGTAATACAGAAGATAAACGATAGTACAACATGATCGATTGTCTCTTTCGCACTTCAATGCAGGGCCTAAAATTTCAAAATTTAAGAACATCCCGATATTTAAAAAAAATTAAAAAACTTAGGTTTTCTGCTGTAAAATAAATGAAAATAGACTTAATTCTCCTTCTTATCATCTACGCAGTTGAATAAATATTGTTATGAATTGAGCAGTAAATATTTGAGTGAAAACGAAAAGCTAAATTTAAAAAAACGAATAGAATATATCAAACTTTAATAATTATGGGTGCTTTAAAATTTCTTAATTGTTTTGATTTCATCATCTTCATCGGAATCTTCTTTTTGTTCTCGAGCACTTTTGGATATGCCTTTAAAATATGGCGCATTCTTTGTTTTTCTGTCCATAACGCCGGAAAAATCTTTGCGTTGCTTTTCGTTCATAAATTGAATGATTGCCATCCTTGGATCCCAGTCTTCGAGATCAGGCTTATTAAAATGAACGTAAAGATATTTTACTTCCGTTTCAAGTGAGATACTGCTTCGTAGTGGTGTCTTTATTCTGTTATTTGCGCTTATAGACCTTTCCACGTCCGCTGAATGCGGCGTACACGCTTGAATTCGTGTTAATATGGTCAGCACTTCTTTGTAATTTTTCGAATTTGTAGAATCTTTTGCAAGAGTTTTGATGATTTTATGCAATTTCCCATTCAATTTCGGTGCAATCTTTTGTTGAACCAACTCGTTATATTGCAATTGAATTGATGTCGAATCGAGATCAGTTGCAAAATAGCATGTTGCAATTTACTTTTGAAATGTACCTCACATTAGTTCAAATGAAAGCCGTCATGTAATCATACGAACAGCGCTCGAATCGTTTTGTAGAATTTTCATACAAAATGATAGTGAGGCACTTTTGCAACATGCTATTTTTGTGAATCTCGCGCAAATCGGCACGTTGATCAAACGTTACAAATGGTTCTATCAGTTTTATTTGCTTATCATCACTATCGAACCGTTCGGAAAGACAATTCAAAATAGAACCAATTATATCACTTCGAATGCTTTGAAAATCAATGCCAGACGTTTCTTGTCTTGTACGGCCGTCTTCAGATCGCTGAAGTTCAAAATGCTTCAGAATAAATCTTCCATCATCCGTTTCTTCGATGTCATTTTTTAGCGCCTCTTCCCATCCACCAAGAAGAAAATCTGACTGTAAAGTTAACAGTGCATTACGAAGAGAATTGATGTTTTGCACTAGACTTATGATCGTTAAATCATCGCCTTGTAATTTTTTCTGGTAACGAGAATAAATGTTCAATAAGTCAGCCAAAAATGCGATGACACGAAGATTATCAATTTTCTGAAGAAAAATAAAAAAACCGTTTGCTTTGCTGTCGTTGTTCTTATTTTCATCGAAATATGTCATTAATGCCACCCATGATCGCAAAATATTATTTATAATTGCGGCGCTATACTCCGTCCAACGAATTGTAAACAATTTTGGCAATTTCGAGAGATGTAGTTTGTATTCAGCTGCAATCGATTCGAGCTCAGCTGTACGCAAGCCGGATTGACGAAAATATGACGAAATGGAACTGAGTTCATTCAAAGTGTTTTGCACGATGGTATGTGTTTTGCTCACGTCACCCCAAACCAATTCCATACGATGTGCACTGCACCAAATTTTTAACAGCGGTATAACTGACTTGATGCGACGTATTTCGTCTTCAATGTATTTCCATAAACCACCCTTTTCGCCAGAATTTACATTAGTTCCGTCGGTACAAATCGAAGAGATGCTCAACATAACAGTTTCATACAGTTGCTCACCAATATTGTCAATAATACCTCTTTTTACGGCATCAAACAGACCAAGTGCACCTCGTAATTTCTGTTCGCCTATACCAAGAAAAACTAATTCGGGCTCACCCTCAGCATTGACAATTTTAAGCAAAATGTAAATCTTGTCGATTTGTTGGCGGTCAATCGATCCATCAACACGGAGAGAACAAGCAAGAGCTGTTTTCAGTTTCCTTTCAAGACATTCCTTGTCCGATCTTACGATAGTGCTTAACAATTCCAAATGAGCAACTGGGTTCACGTACTGTAAATTTAAAAAAGGCACAGTTGGCGAATTTTTGTTTTCATATTCAAAAAGTCTCCCAGACTCGGCACCAACAACACGCGACGGCCAACCCCATGCTGAATTACCCAGTTTTTTTGCATCGACGAATACGTCATACAAAAGTTTCGTTACATGCGACGCCAACTTTTTATTTGCTTTGCTCAAGTGTATTTCAATACACACGTTGCACCGAACATAACGCAACTTTGCATCATTTTTATCACGCACTTCAAACGATTCCATGCATTCTTTGCATTCTTTGTGGAAATCCACTTTATTAATTAATGTTGATGTTGCTGTTGAAATTTGATCGACTTGGTTTTCATTTGTTTCGGCAATTTGTTCATTTGGTTCGGACTCTTCGATCACTGATGAAGTTGAAGACGAATTTTGTTGTAAAATATCGGGTTCGAACGTGGGAATTGCACTCGCATTTTCGTTTCATATTTCGATTGAGAACCGCACTTGATTGATTTCAATACACGAATGAAAGCAGCCAAAAACAATATGCAATTAATGCTCAAATCTTGAGGCTTGAACACATTGCGCTGTTCATCATGCGATTATTATTTTATGTAAACATTTCTGTGTTTGTTCACAGTTCAAAATAAAAGTTATCACAATAATCATTTTTGTTGATTATACAGCGGGTATGTCTCGCCTATGTGGTTGGCAGTGAACGCAGTTGACTTTTTTTTGCTGACATGCAACTTTTGCCAAAACCAAAATCAAATGACCGAATAAGTCTCGGTTACTCATGAAATGAATCATAATGAGAAAAGTAGCTAATAAATTAAACAGACTAAACGGTATAAATAAAGTAAACAAATTGATCGACTTTGTGTTGTGCACAACACAAGATATCGCCAAAATACAGTTCTGAAATGAGAAATATCATTTGAATATTTGGCTGTTACTTTTTTATATGATAAGAAATCATATTTTAGCGTTGAATCACCACACTCTATTCTGAGAGTGACGATTCACAGCAAAATATGATTTTCAAACGTAACAAAAGTAACATCCCGATTTTCAAATAAGAGCAACACTTTTCAAATAAGAGGATCCCGAATCGGGTAGAAGATCCCGAAATTTTAGGCCCTGCTTCAATGTGCGTGGGTAATACGGTATAACCGACGCTTGAGTGAAGGTTGACCAATACGTATTGAAATGAATAGTTATTTATTTGTATTGCCATTGCTCACAGTGAGGCTCACTGCTCACAGTTGTATGAAAAAAGCAACAAGTCATATTGTAGCATCTTACAATTTTCGTACGACGCATCAACACAAATTATTCAGAAAAATGAAACGCAGTATTTCATACAGACACCGTATCGGCGTTTACATGTTTTGAGCGTGTTGCTTTGTGTGTGCGAGTGTAATGTATTTGAAATCTTATAATTGAGAACCAAAACCTAACGGTATGTTGTTGACACTCGCAATAGCAGCGATGCAATAGCATTCAGCCACAGTACACATCGGTCGCAACTGTGAAAAGAGTGGGGATTCGTCTGTATATGTGTTGTATAGAGTCTGATTTGTTGTTATGGACATGCAGCGCCTCTTTCGGGATAATTTTGATACCAAAATCGTGTCGGAGGTTCCTTTTGGATTTAATTAAATCCGAACCACCTACAACCGACATAAAAGAAGTAAAACTCACGAAATAAATTTAAATTCAAATTTAATTCATCTGCAGACTTAGCAAAAAGAATAAAGTCATCGCGAGCAATCAAACAGAAGAAATTTCAACATTGACCGTTGAAATAAATAGTCAACCGAAGCGATTGGCCCGCCTTACAAACCTGGACTTGGTCATCACCATCGGTTCAATTGTCGATCTATTTTTCAGTGCATCGCTTCTCAGTTTGGCGGAAATTATTCACCTTTGGATTGTGCATCGATTTTAAATCAGTAAAAAATCCACTTCGGCAACTTTATGACGAAATACTTTCGGTCCACTTTTTTTTTTTAAATTAAAACCTGTTGAAAATGCAACCAAAATAAAACACCCGTGAATGTTGTTGTTGTTTTGTGTGTTTTATTAATTGTTAATTTCTATTTATTGGCTTTAAAATTTTTCAAATGGAATTCAAGTGAGAGTTCAAATCATCTACTGAGAAGGCGGATAGTAGATTCTAAATGTAGACAAAGAACAGCGCTCAACACACACATATATATATTTTAACGCGCACAAACTCCAAATAAATTGTGAATTTGATCCATTTGCAACTCGTTTCGTTCACCTCGCTTGTATTCCTGTCTATATATTGGCCTTCTCTCTCTCTCTCTCTCTCTCTCTCTCTCTCGTGCGCTCTCGCTCTCTGCCATCGATTGCTCGACGCTCGCTCGTTGGTTGTGTGCTTCATTCTCGGTTTCCAATCAGTGTTTAATTGACGTTTCGTTGCTTGCGCTCAACTAAATGAACAATCCACCACATGAACAACAGTAGAACAACACCCAATGCCAAAATATGCAAACCACCAAATTCAAGAATAAATTCGGCCGTATAAAATGCCTCTTCTCGCCTTAATGTTTTAAAAAGATCATCTTTGAAATAGATTGTGATGCGACTCACTTTGTTTTCGTCACGTCTTCAAAAGCAAAAAACGGATAAATGACATTAAATGGAAAAATGTATGGAAAAAAAAGGTTAAGAAAATCAAGAGCAAAAATAAAATCAATTCACGTTAGTTACCTTTGATAATTCAAATCTGCATTTATTCTATTGAATTCGTCGAACTCGCGTTCGGAAATTTCCACATTATAATCGGTGGATGTGCAAGCGGGCAAACAGTTACACTCTTCCAATGTGCTTCTTCTGAGCAATTCATCTTCAGCTTCGCGATAGCAATGCATTCTACCTGCACCGCAAATACTCATCTCTTCACCTCCTACGGAATAAATCGAATGAAATGGCATTTTTATTGCATTCGCTATGATTCCGAAAATCAGGTTAATGAACGTTTTCCTTCATTCGTTTAACTTCATTTAAACACTTTTTCCATTCGCATTTTTTTCCTTTTAAATTTCCATTCGGAATTTTTTTTTTCTTCTTTCAAGCGTTTTTTTTTTCCCATTAATTGAAACCATATTTGAATGAAGTGAACTGAATGGAGAAAACTTGTACAACAAACATCAAAATGTCAATAAACTATAAATATTTAATAGTTCCGTATTCTCTCTAACTAGCCACCGAAAACACTCACTTGGCAACGAGAATTTGACGCAGCCGCAACGCCAGTACGTAAAGTTACTCGTGCATTCCATTTCGCAATGGTTTTGTGTGTATGTCTTGAAATAACGTAATTTACGCTCGGAATCGTAAACGCATTGTCGCCGCTTTGGGCTGAAATTGCGTAGCTTCTCCGATGTGGTGATCATTTGTGGTTTGATTAAAACTTTAACATCTTTTCCCATTGGGATGCGGAAAAAGTTTGATGTGCGCGGCATTTCGTCGGGTGAATGAAGTATGAATTTTGGTTCTGATACCCAACGCCGTGAGAAAATGTCCAATAGATCCTTGTCAAAGTAAATGGATATGCCCAAACCATTGTTGATACCTTTACGTAGTACACGGTATGGATACGCTTCCGGATCTCGGTCATTTTCATCGTAATCGTCTTCGCGACTGGCGCGTCGCACAAGTGGCGATGCCATACTAAAAAAAAAAAGAATTTTGCAATAAATTCGCATTATTTCTCAAACGTTGTACATGACATTTTTTTGGCGACACCAATTTGGATGCAATCCAATTGGATGGATATTTATAAATAAGCACGCTGAATGTTTAAATAAATAAACACGTTCAAAGATGAAACTTCTTTTTAAGGAGAAATCACTGGAAAAAAAACATTCACGACGCCCGAACTTGGCACACAACCATTTCCGTCTCGCAAAACTCACCTTTGTGTAAATATTTCGTAAGAGCTCAGCAGATTCTGAAAATAGAACGCAAAGTTTAACACATACACATAAACATATTGATATTTTTTATAAGATATTACGAATGAGAAGCATTTTCCCTCCTCGGTGATGATAGGCCGGAAATTGGCATTGCATGCAATTTTCTCGTTTAGCCATTTACAACCCTTTGTATACTCTGTGATACGCGATGAAATCAAGCCGAAAATTCCAAATTGGTATTCTTCACGACTGAAGCGCTCCAGGAATTCGGGACTTCGTACCGAATCAACAATATCCTCCGGATAAATTTGGAATAATGTTTCCATGGCATATTTTCTAGAATCGCAGGGTGGAATGAAAATATTGAAATGTGATAGAAGCGAGACGCAAAAATGGACGGCATTGTATGTCATTGCCACATATTTTTCGATGAGAAAATAGAGATTCAAGTGTTTTCACGTATTACAAGTGTGATACAGAAGGATGTGGAAATAGTTAAAGTAGACAAATTTGATTCAATCAAATTCAAATCAGAAAATCTAACATGAAAACTAAAATCGAATGTAAAATTTGAAATAAAATATTGAAAAATATTCGAATATACAAAATTTTGATGAAAATCAAAGGAAGAAAAATGGTTTTTGTTCTGGGAAGAGAAAATTGAATAAAAAATCAATGAAAAATGAAGAATTTTATTCGAAAATGAACAAAAATGAAAATAATTTGATAGTTTAACGCCTAAAATTTACGTTTCGCACTAAGCAAAAGGTAGCCTTTTAGTTAAATAACCTTTTAGTAAAAATATAGGCCATATTATATGGCGAAAAAAAGTAGATAAAAATCCAAAATGGATCGAATCAAAAAGTGAAGAAGAAAACAATTTGTTCAGAATTGATTTTGTCCTTACTCGTCGAGTTTAAGTTGGGGTTCGCGATAAACTTGCATCAAACGCAGTAAATGTGTGAAATTGAGTGGTGGATAACCGGCTCTGGTTCCCGGGCAAATAGTAACCTGTTATATTATAATAATAAATAAGAAAAAAATTCAGAGAGTAAGAGATATTGCAAACTGACAATCGAATAGATAATTGATTGTATAAAACTTTAGTTTTGATGACTTACAGCAGGGAATGGGATGGCTCCAATGCTCATGACTTTGTCATCCGGTCGAACTTTCACCAAGTATTTTGACCAGTAGATAAAGAGGTGGGTTAAAAGACCTGAAGCCAAACAGAGAACAAACAAACTGCCCAGAACAATGGTCGTTTTTATATGATTTCCACACCATTGACACCGTTCCTTCTTCCGGTTTCGTAGTTCCTGTTTGATTTTTAGAGTAAATTGAAGTCAAAAGCATGGAGAAAGGGGAAGAAAAAAAGATGGAGAAGAAGAGAGAATAAAAGAAAGAACGGGAGACAGAAAAAAAACAGAAATAGAGAACGAGAGAAAGAAAGTAAGAAAGGAAGAAAGGAAGAGAGAGAGAGAAAAATAAGTTAATTTTGAGTCATGGTATTTTGTTGAAATGCAACGTTGAAGAGATTGATTCACAGAAAAAATTAGAAAAAATGAGTTTTAAAATTGATTTAAAACCGTTCACTCTTCCGCACTCAAAGTGTGTGAAATGATTGGTTTTCATTGTTCAATGCACTTAAAGTGGTTTGTAAATCATCATAATAGAAAAAGTATGGTTGATTATTGCAAATTGCCGATATAAAAGCTGCATTTAACTACGACAATGCATAACAAATGGATTCATTGAATGGAAGACCATAAAAAATTCATTCATTGGCTAGTATTCATAAAAGATTCATTCAACTATGCTTACATCGTTGTCGGCGCTCAAATCGAAATCGCTGCCTCTGCTGACTGCTTTCGACACGGTTTCAGGAACGTACCTATCATTACCATCACGACTACAATTCAAAAAAAGAAAAAAAATTGCATCTTAGAAAATAATTTCATTTTCATGCTATTATCATTGATTGAATATCAGTATACTGTGATAAGAAGAAAAAAATGATTGAATTTGAAAAAATAAAAATTACTTTTGTGCTTTGCGTCCGCCCCATGCACGACCCAATCGAAAAATACAGTATAATAATGCTTCGAACACCACCACCAAAACAATGGCCATAATAACGAAGAAGACGACATAAAAGTTTTTCAGGAAATCCAAAACCGTGTACTGAATCCGAACGTTCGGTATAAACTTTTCATCCTTGAATGAAATCAATAACTGACTTCGCTCTTCTTCTTCACGCCTTCACGAGAAAATCGGAAATAGAAAAAAGAAATGCCACGCATGAGAGCGAGTAAATTGAGTTTGTAGCGACTTTTCTGGGTAAATGATGTCACGGAAAATGAAATTATTGAATGATTAAATTACCTTGGAACTTGGAAACCGAGTTTGCCTTTTACTAAATTTTTATTCATTTTCAAACCTTTGGCTTTGATATCGACATCATATTTAATCGACGCGCATGCAGGAAGACAATTGCATTTCTTCAAATAGGAGGATTGCCAGCCAAAATTATCCGCCAATCGCCATTCGGCATCGTGATAGCAACGCATTTTGGCCACACCACAAATTCGTGTATTGTTATCTCCTGTGGATGGGGTATTTTTTTTGGGTGGAAAAGTTAAAATTTGTAATTTTTTGGTGTTTTTCGGTTTTTTGAGGAAGAAATTTAGAAAAATACAACAAAAATAAAAAGAAAAAAACTAAGTCTAGAACTCACTTGGCATGGAAAATTTGACACAACCGCATCTGGATTTGGTGAAATTGGCCAAACATTCAATTTCGCAGTGTCGTTGTGTGTAAACTTTAAAGAATCTCAATTTGCGTTCATCGTTAAAATAGCATTGACGTCGCCATGGGCTAAAACTTCGCAAATCATTCGATGTAACAATAACATTTGGCTTAACCGATACTGAAACTCGTTTGCCAATTGGAATGTGGAAGTAATGCGATGGTTCTGGCAGTTCATCAGGTGAATGCAGATAGAATTTTATGTCTCGTGCCGACCGATTACATAGAGGATCCAATTCATCGCGTGGAAAATAAATTGAGATATTCAATGCATTATCGGGTCCCGCACCAGACACACGATACGGATAGATTTTCGAATCTGTATCGAATACACGGAAGGGATAATATTCGGATGCCGTTTCAGTATCAGTGTAACCAACTTCTCGAGTCCAATACGATGAATTCAGGCTATTTTTCCAGTTACGAATCAGTGGGAATGACATGCTATTTAAAAAAAAAAAACAAACATAAAATTCGTTCGAAATTAGAACCAAAACGATAATATACGAAATAAATCTCGCGCGCGGAGAGGTTACTCCTTATTTTCTAAAAAAAAAAATGAGGGGAATTTGCTTGTTTTACGCTTTGACCTTGAGCGAACGAATCAATACAAACCGTCAAGTGGAGCCCGTTTCTCCATGACAACAACAACAACACGGTCACGAATGTTTCAAACAACAACAAAAACAAACGACGGTGATTTGTTACCAATTTTTCTCTTTTCGCCCATCTGATTTGATGAATTTTCTCTGTTTTCTACATTTTCATTCAACTTGTTTTCTCTTTGAATTTTTTTCTTCTTTTTTTTTAAAGATTTTCGGAGATTTCATCTTTTCGCTTTTATTCTCATTCAATTTTCTCATTTTCTCTTCTAATCGTCGCCCACAAAACTTGTATATTTTTGCCTATATTTCGCATTGATAAAAAAAAACTGTCCCCAAAAATAGACTAACCTTTGTGTGAATATTTCATAGGAATTCAGCAGATTCTAAAAATATTCAGAGAAAAAAGCAACAACAAAAAAATGTGTGTGAAAAAAAAATGATTCGTCGAGAGAGCAAAAAAAAGGCGCAAAAAAAATGGCCCATACAAATGTGTAACATCGTCCTTCGTCGGTGATAATTGGTCGAAAGTATTCATCGCATGAGGTGCGTCGATGCCATGCACAAAATTTGGCATTTTCATCGATATCGCATGCAATCGAGTTGAACGCTTCAATTTGATCGTCTTCATCCACATAACGTTCGAGTATGTCCCAATTTCGTACCCGCCGAAATATATCCCAATCGCATAGTTGAAACAGGGTTTCCAGTGCAATTTTCCTACGAAACGAAAACGAACGAAACGAATGGGAAAAAAAAAGAGAGAGAGAGAGAGAGAGTGAAATCCAGGTCATAAATGCATTGCAGTTTTGGTGTACATATGAAAAATGACCTTCATACTTTCTCGGTCTAAGTTTGGGCTGTGCTTCGGTTTGCATGAGAAACAGTGTACGATTAAAATTATTCTTTGGATAACCGCTTCGTATTCCCGGGCAAATGGTCACGGCAGGAAATGGTATTGTACCCACAGATGCATATTTTTCATCCGGTCGAACATTTGCATGGAAGCGTATTATCAACGCCACCGCACATAGTACCAATGCAAAGCTAACGGCCGTTGTTATCGTCATCGTCTTTCGATTCCATTGACAGCATGTTTTTTGCGAACCTTTGTCCGCCGCCGTTGCCGACGTCGTCATCGTTTCTTGTGTCAAAAACGAGTCTTGACTCTCACCCATTCGATGTTTTATACCCTGTTTGTGTGTGTGTGTGTGTGTGTGTGTGTGTGAGTGCGTACGTGAGTGTGTCAAGTACAGAAAACAAAAAAAAAACACCAATTTCAGTTTTTGTTTGCAATGAAAAAGATTACAATGGAAGTTTTTTTTACGCAATTTCGAGTCATTTTTCACAGTTTTGGTTCTTTTCTTTACATTTTCAATGGTTTTTTTTTCTTCCCAATTCTAGGATAGCCAATAGCTCATGATAGCAAATTTGTTATCAAACATTTTTCACTTGAATAAATTCAATCTTGCGCTCATCTCATTCATTCCATCAATTTTCTGCACAACGCAACAAAAACATTCACAGCACCAGAAAAAAACTCACTTGGTATTTGCCGCTTTTTTCAACTTCCTTATGAAAATTGAAATCCTTTCCATTTCTTACACCCTTTGACATGGCAGCTCAGGTATGTCGTTTCTTTCAAAGAAAACACAGAACGAAAAATATATTCCTGTAAATTGATCCCAAACACGGAGTGGATTCAGTTGGAATTGGTTGAGCAGTGAAGTAGTGATGCTGTTCAGTCCGAGTCAAGACCGAGTTGCATAACTCGTCTCAAAAAAAGAAGTCCTCAATGACTTTTATGCTACTTCTAGTGCAATTGTTTCAATTTTTTTTTCACACTCACTGAACCAATTTTTTTTCCTTTTCAATTTTGCTTCGTCACCGTTTTTTTTTCTTCTCTTTCTTCACAATGGCAGATTTTTTCTATCTTTTCACAACAGAATTGCTGTTATTTGTCTTTGAAACACTGAATCACCATCACCATCATCTTCTGTGGACATTTCACAAAGAAATGCAATTGCTTTCGAATGCAGAAAATGTTTAGAAAAATAAACTTTTTCGTTTTTTTCTTTCGGATAAACGCAGTTTTTGTTTTTACTCTCCAGAATTTAAAATGGGACCAGCCATACACGGAGCCACAAAACGATATGAATTCCCAAACAAGACTGACATTTGCGTCGAATTCAAACAGAGAGATTTGCCATATACGTTGTTGAGATGGTTTTTCGAATTTTGTCCTTGACATGAAAAATTCTCCCGTTACACGGATGCTGACGCAAATCTTTGCCACTCATATATGTGTGTGTGTGTGTGTGTATTTGTTGTTGGTGTATAATTGTGCGTTTGTTCGTTCTTCTACCGAGCTTCCTCTCGATAATATTCTATTCGGGATAAAACGTAAACAAACCAGCGTGCAAAATGGTTCATTCATCTATGCGAACTGGGCGCTTTCTCCATCACAGCTCTGTATGTAAGCCTAGGGCCCGCACAACAGCGTCATTGAACATCAAATCCGCTCTCGCTCTTTCTCTCTCTCTCTCTCTCTCTCGTGGCTGGAGAATATTGGTACGCCGGCGCAGTTGCATCGCTACAAACATTGCTCCGCATTTTCACGCGATTTTTATCTTGATTTGTAAGCGTGTATACTACGATGCGAAACATTTACATTTGTAACAGTCATTTGGATACTGGTTCATGTGTGTGTGTGTGTGTGTGTGTTCGCGTATATTTTTGTGAAAGTGAAAGCCTCTTTCACTGTGTGTACAATTTCGAGCAGATGCAATTATTGATTACATTTTTATCCAGTCTTACAAAACTTACACAAACAATAACTGTTGCATGCCTCAAACTAAAATTTGTTACGGGCGTCATGTATGTTTAAAAGGATTTTGAGCGTGTGGAGGAATGGATTTCATGCACACACAACGGGATTCAATGTAGAGAGAAAGAGTAAAAAAAAATTCGTAGTGAGCGAAAGAAAAAAAAATCGATTGTTTGTACTCACAGCGACGCCTTGGAGAGAAGACAATCCATGTGAGGCAAAATAGGGACAAAAAAAACTATATACAAACACAAAATTGATGGCATTAAGAAATAATGAGGCTGAAAATCGGGTTATTTCAAAGCGTTCATTTAATTGGAGTGGCTTGAGGATGTAATAAAAATAGAATTGGGTTGATTTTTTTTTTCTACGCTATTTTTGCTCTTTTTCCGCTTGATTCGAATAAACCACACACGACTCTTCATCCTTTTGACCTTGTGTGGAAGTAGCATGAACGCGTTTGACTGTTAAAATAGATGTCGGTTAAACACAAATCCAATTATTTCTCTGTCAAAATCCACAAGATTTTCTAGCGCATTTCAAACCAAAAATTGTTGCTCTTCACATAAATTTTAAGACGTTGAACAACGGCTTTTGGGGCGTCGACACTCTTCACTTGGACCAATTCCAGCGAGTGTTTAGTTCATAAAATGTAAACTATAATTTGGCCGTAGTAAGTCGATTGGAAGTCGTTATGAGTTATTCATTTAGAAAAGTTGAAGGTTTTATGGGCTTTTATTCGCGACTCATTACACTAAATGTGCAGCGATTTAACACGCTGATTGTTGATTTGCCCATCCAAAAACGCCTGACCCAATTGATAAAACATGTAAAACGCTTGATTACGTTCTGAGTGCACGAAATTATTGAATATGGGTTTTCGTTCATTCGTTCCGCTTGAAAATTTCCTTCCAGAATTGGCAGCACGTAATTTTTGTTTACATCAAACTAGGATATTAGGTCAATCTCTGCTTTTTTTCCATATTCCACAGACAACGCCCAACCGATTTTCTCCACTTTGACTTCTACCACTGTACCTGGCCTACACAAACGTCGCGCACTTTAAAACGATTCCTATTGCCATGGTTCTCTTTCTGATTCCTTTTTGTGTGCACTTTGAAACAATAGAACCGATTTAAATGGAGCATTCAGAAAATCCTATTGTTGGTTGTTTGCATTTGATTACGGTATTCAATGGAATGCTTCTTTTATCCATTTTGCAAAGTAAGCTATATTTAGAGGTGAAAAAGACAGTGTTCAGAAATTATTAAACACTTTCTTTCTCCTCTTTTCATAACATTTTCTAAGCCTTCGAAGTGTTTCGCTCAAAGATATGCATTTTTTAAGTCGCAATAACCTTTAGAGTCGTCATAACGTTCAATAGCCCCGGTGTTGTTGTTATCGTCTAAATATTCTATGACGTTGAGTTCATTACAAGTACATGAAATGTTGCCCATCCAATTTTTATCGGAGAATCTTTATGATGAGCTTAATAGATAAAACTTTTAATATATTGACAAACTTGAATCATATTAAAAGTCGAATATATTTCGGTATAGAATGACGGAATGTAAGACAAGGGGAGATAGTTTGTGCTTTTGAGTTGATTTTGATTCATTTATATCGGTATATACACGGTCTTTAGACTATTCGTTTTATTGAATTCGTATTTCATTGAAAATCAAAGGAAAAAATTTAGATTTGAAAATCAAAAAGAAATTTTGTCAATTTTATCGAAGTTCACACGAAAGAAGAATATTTTTTCTCTACAAAACGACGTCATTTGTTTCATCCGAAGAACGAAAACGTTCTGCCTTCGACTCAATTTTTCTCCCATCGATTCAAAAGGAGCCAGTTTCCAATTCAACCTTTTGATTCATTTAAACAATTTCCAATAGAAATGCGATACTCAAGCCATTTTTGTGTTATTTGCTGCATGCTGACGCTATCAAACTGTGCACCGCAAGGGACACTCTCAAATGTTAGCGGAGTTGTATTGAATATAACCGCAGGAATATTCGACGTAGTAAATGGTGCAGTGGATACAATTGCAGACTTAAACGGATCGAATGGAACGAAAACGTCTAACACCACATCAAACGATAATACGACTACCACAACTGTCGAAAGTGATACCAACAATTCACAGGAGGACTTTGATCAATTTATCGTTGACATATTCACAGGAATTCAAGCAAATTGCTCCAAGAACTAACCGAAGCGAGTGAAAATTGGATTCAATGATATGGGAAATATTGATTTTTGAATAAAAATTCGAATGCCAAACCGACATAGAAGCCCTTAGTAACAAAGTTCAAAGTTCTGCTGTTGTTGTTGTCGATTTCATTGGCTTTCATAGGAAAAAAAACACCAATTAAACTGTTAATGAGTCGTTTGAATGAAATTGCACGCCTTTTGTACCCAACTTTAAAGAATGATTCACAATTTCTATGAAAACACTACGTTTTCAGATAAGATTAGTATCAGAGATTGCATATTTGCTGCTGAGTAGGCCTGAGCTGAGCTGAATTTGCTAACTCAGGCGCCTGAAGCGGTATTTTAGCGCACTTACGGTGCAAAATTGTTGTGGATCGCTGGTATCCACCCAAATATAATTGATAAACAGCGTGGATTCCAGCGATCCACAACAATTTTGCACCGTAAGTGCGCTAAAATACCGCTTCAGGCACCTGAGTTAGCAAATTCAGCTCAGCACAGGCCTACTCAGCAGCAAATATGGAATCTCTGATTAGTATTAGTTGAATGGTGACACTGTTTGTTACTAATACACACAACTCTGGGGGAATGGTTTAGTGGTTTTTAATACAATGCTACATTAGCATTAGTTGACACATCTGATTTTGGATTGGGATAATCGTTCAAAACCACGATTTTTGGTTCGGTCTAAAGATTTGTATAGTAATCATTAAATCTGATTTCAAAAAGGTTATTAACACGATCTAGGCTAGCTCGTTTGTAAGTTCGGATAAACTTTTAATTTATGATAATTTTGATATTTTAATGGCACATTCAAATTGGCCATTTTCAGAGCTACAAAGTGCCGACACTTACTTGGGTACCGGTACGTACCTATTATTATTCCAAAACACTTTTTTTCTCAATATTTTTAATACATTGAACTGTTTTATTGACTTTATTAATTCGTTAGACTTGTTTCAATTAAATAATAAATATAATCAAAATGGTTAGTTAGACTCATCAGTCTCAACCGTGAGCAACGTCCTTAAGTTTATAATATTTTTCCAAATTACTGTTACAAATCGAAGCGCCTTCTTCAACGTATTGTCCAAAGCCGTGCAGTTCGATATCAACCAAATGAGCAAATGGTTTTAATTTATCAAAGTCACCATGCCTCAACTGAACGGCCCACAAAGTGTATGGACTTAATAAACTGAAACCAGCCACAAGTTTATCGTACGCAGCATTACGGTCAGTCGGTTTGTTATTTTTTCCACCAAAGCTGAACCCAATGGTCAACGGCCGACTGGGAATTGTGTAAAACTCATTGTTACATCGATAATTTGATTCGCCCATGTGCGTCATTGAAACGTGGAAAGATTCAAGGATTTCACTCAACTGGCCCTTCACTGTTTGGTTCGCAGACCTAAATTCGATATCAATTGTTGCAAATTTGATGGCGTTTCTTTTGTCGCTTCGTTCAACATCGGCAAGAAGGTAGATTTTCGTTCCATTGAACAGCTGTTCGATTTGATCGTGCACTTCGTTATTCGACCATGCATAAAAGGGTCCTCTTGAACCTGGCTCATTGTTGAATTCCGCAACATGTATCGACATATCATTCGAATTGATAACGGTCGCGTTGAATATCTGCATTTTTTCCCTCAACGACTGTATTTTGTGCGTGACGACTGTTGTGTACTGATTCATATCTGTTGGTAAAAAAAAAATATTTTTAAAACAAATACATTAGGACAGTTCAATAGCGAAAACTACCAAGGATATTTCATCCATAAAATAAAATTGAGTTTTACGAAATTATTCATATCCATACCTGAGTTGTTCGCAATCAGCGTGGATGGAAGTTGATAAAAGTCCAAATACTCAGCGGCATACGGAAAAATGGCTTGTTTAAATGCATTCATAGCTCGATTGTACAGAGAAAGGATAAGATTTGTTTGAAGATTCATTTCCAATTGAATGAATTCGATATTTTGCGGGAGCTGAACATTTTGATGATTCATCGATTGTAAGTCACTCAAATAAGAAATCAATCGCGATTGCTCTTGATGCCCCTGAATATGATCGTAGATATCAATGAGAAGATTCATGGTTTCACCAATGCGAACCAAACAGTTGTTTATACCATATTCGGTACTGCGACCAGAGATTGCGTCACCCAGTTTCTTTTGAATTGCACGAAGAATGTCATGGGTCTTCCATTTCATCACATCCAACGCCTCCGATGATTTATCCGTAAAGTTTTTTCCGACATTCCGCAAATGTGTGTGCATTTCGTTGATCGTTGGCAATAAATCGAAATGTATTTGATCTTCCAATCGCATTAGCTCTGTTAGAGTTTTCATATCTTGATTTATTGACTTGCTGATTTCTTCAAGTTTCCCATCATCTTCCGAATATTGCCGATAATTCTGATAATTCGATGCGATGGCAACGAAAAAATTTGATGTTTTTTTCATTCGTTGTAAAATTCCTGGTGCAGTTTCGTTGGTCGGATTGGTAAGAGTGTGTTGAATGAATTCAGTGCACTCAAGCAATAAAATCGATGTTCGACTGTATGATTGTTCCAATTTTACTCGTTTCACCTGTGAGTGTAAATCGATTAAACGTTTACTGAAACGATTTTTTCCACTATCCTCATTGCCATTCACAAAGGACACCAATTGACCTAATTCGCTATCCATCAGATTCAACTTCTCTTGATAGTTTTCTTCAATAATTGTCGATGTTTTTGACACTGTTCTGCCAGTTCTATCGGTTTCACTTGTTAAGAGGTCAACAGGCTTGAAAAAAACTTCATACGCAGATGACAAAACGCCGATAGCCAGTTTTGCGATAGCAATCAATTTATGTATCATCGCCATTCGCCGGATTTCATTGGCTTTCTCTTCTTTTTGTCGAATTTTCACCCTTTGTTTGGCTTGCAATGCAATTGACTCATTGAGCGTTTTTTGCATTTCAACATTTAGAACCGTATAGGTTTTCTCAATTTCTGGTTCAATATCATTTTTGATAAAATCATTCGCCTTCGTTATTTTTTCGCGTAATTCGTTTTTGTATCGATCTCGTTGTTCGGTGATCACATTTATTCGTTCATTTGCATTCAATTTTTCTATGTATTCACTGATTACATGGAAAACGTTATTAATATCCACGATTAAGTCGCCATTGTGGGCATTTTCTATTGACATTTTTCTGCTTAATGCGATCAAATAGAGTTGAGTAAGTAATTTTCGATCAGCATTTGATAGATTATTCACTTTTGTTCTGCTGTATTCGTCCATTCTCTTCAGCAAATTGGAGTACATTGGTAACATGTTGATATGGTCGTTCAACCGAATAAACTCCATTTCCAATGCATTCATTTCAATTGCAAACTCCGTTGGTAAATATGCGCTATTTATATCTGAATTGAAGTCTATCGCATTGTACGTGTTCTGTATTGTTTTCAACAGCGATTCAGAACTCATTTTTTCAAGTAGAAATGTCTTATATTTAACAACTGCCAATGCATAGGTTAATTTGTTCGATTTCGGCTTTGGCTTCGCTATTTTTTCTTCGTTGTATGAATACCGAACAGGACAACCAGAATATAGGGAGCTAGACATTTTCTGAATTTTAGCCTTTACTTTGTACCAAAGCACGAAAGACCAATTACAAATTACACTAACATCAAGTTGATAAGTACTACAGACACTTCCATCACTGCCGCTAAGTCCGTTGAAACCAGTATTTCCCGTATGTTTTGGTAAACCAGACTTATTGTTTGCACGTATGAAAGTAAAGTAGCCTTCGTGTCCACCGAGTCCACCTAAAAACATAGCAATGATTAGCAATTTAGGCATTTTAATGTCATAATGACTTATTATACACAATGAAAAAAGTTCTTACCTTCACCACCTTGACCAGTCTTGCCACAGCACCCCCTTGGCATTAATACATATTCCATATATTTTCTACCATAATCACGAATTATTAGAATATTGTTGAAAGTTGATATGTCATTTCTTGAGCAATAAAAAAAAAATCCGTTTCGACTGAAATAATTTTCGACTAAAGTTTTTGTGACTTCTCCTACGCTATCACCGACCAATTCTTCTTTGAGTTCTACACTTTTGAATGTTTGTCGATAATCTTCACTACCGCTCCCGTCTTGTCCATTTCCACCGTTACCTCCGTTCAATTCCACCGTTAACAAATCACCATCAACGACGCTATTGGCGAAACCAAAAAAGTCGCCAGCATTTGTTCCTGGAATACCATGTCTTCCGGCTGTTCCACTTGTTGTCGGTTGATATTGGTTTGCACCTTTGGCTCCATTCAAATGGAATGTGGCATCTTGTCGAATATTCCATGTATGCGCCAGAATATTGAGTTCCACTTCATTAAATGGGTTCAACGTCAAGTTGCAGTCGACGTAAAATGTGTCCACCACAAACACATTGATTCGTTTCAAAGATACTATAGTGGTGAATGGCAGAATATCTGAGCTCCTAACAAAATTCCCTTTGATCGTAACGCTGCTGTGTTCATCATTGTATTCATGTTGCGGCCGAGATTTCAACGTAACATTTATAATATCATTCAATTCTCGTAAATTCCATTCGGTTGGCGTAAAATCCAAAGTGGTGATTTTTTGGGTGAATTCATTGTAATTGTCTGCATCAACTAAAAGGTCTTGTGGCTTATCGATTTTTCCCCAATCCGATAAATGAGCCACATTATATAGGCTGATATCCTTTTGAACTTCGTAACTACCGAAGAAATTGTACGTTTTCTGCAGAAAGCTGTACCAATCGTATTGCGATGTCAAATAATCAACCGTACTCGACGATTTTGTCATCCAATCATATACGGGATCGGTGATTACAGAGCTTGCTGATAATTTCATTTGGACTAAATCGCTCCGTAGTCGCTTTAGATTATTCAGTAATTTGAAATTGGTTGATGATATGTTTACATATTCGATAAATACTTCAAATTCCTTGATTTTATTTTCCAGTTTGAATTCGCCAGAAATAGCATTTATGTCGGCTTTCAGCAGGTGCAGCCACTCTAATCGATTTTGGAATAGATCGATTGATTGCAGACGTTTCTTTACCAAGGCTAATATTTGTGTATCAACATCCGTTAAGACGGTGGAAATGTTTGCGATTGTATGTTGCGCTTCATTCATGATACGTTCTTGTACACTTCTCTCCCATTTGGCAGAACGTTCGGTGATTTTTTCCAAAAATGAATCATAATTTTTGCCCGAATTTGATTGGGATGCTTCGGTTTCAATAAGAGATAGAAATATGTGAAGATTTACATCTTGATGTTCCATTCGGTCAAAAACACTCTTATCAATCGTTTCAATTTCAAATGTTTGAATGATTTTTTTCAATCGTTCAGTCAGTTGCTTCAGTCCTATCACATTGTTATCAGTCTTGTTTTGAACCACATTGACACAACGTTTCGCAAGTTCAATCAAATACAATTTCTCTTCAAAATCGTCGACTGATCCAATTTCTAGCTGTATTTCGTTCAGTACTTGATTAACGATGCTCTGTAGATCGTTCGAAATGTTATCAATTGAGTTTTTTGTTATATTATGCACTTCTATTTGCGCTTCAGCCGTCAGAGGAAATCCAAAGTCATTATTCTGTATTTCAACGTACGAGCAGTGTTGAAGTATAGATTCACGAGTTTTTCGTCGACCTTCAGTCATTCGATTTATACCATCGAATGATCCCGCTTGGGAGGGTCGCCAAAATATCGATATTCTTGGATAATCACCGCTTGCATTTTGTTCCAACAATGCATCGATCAATTGAATCTTTTTTTCGCTCAGTTTTTTTGTTTGTAAAAATTTGCGATGCTTATCAATGAAATCGAACGCTGAACTTTTAACATCAACATCGAGCAGTTCACCAAATTCATCGGATTGCGGAACCTTTGTTATCACCAACGAAAAACTCTGTTTGTATCGTTCGATATTTTTGATTAATTGCGTCGCACCAGATAATAATTTGTCGAATCCATCGCGATTGTAGCCTTCAGTTACTGCTTCGTAGTCTACGACGAACACTATTTTCACAAACGATGCATTTTCAATGATATTTTTGATTAGGAACGATGTAGCAATTTCGACCGTTTCGTTGTGTGTATCACCGAAGCCAGGACAATCATACCACACATATCCGTCTTCGTCGATCACCATTTCTGGAATAAGCGTTCGTGATTCCGTTGCAAATGTCGTTCTATTCAGTTCAGGATCTAAACCATCAAAAATTTTCAATTTTCGACCCGATCGATGAGAAATCATTTTGCTATAATCGCCGGCTGCATAGTGAACGTAAGTCGATTTTCCAACACCAGTGTTTCCAACGACCAAATTTATATTCGAGTTTGGTGGAAGTTTCAGTTTAGTTTGCAAATTATTTACGTACACCAATGTATCACTCGATTTATCGCTCAAAACGACCACTATTCCGATGCAAAATATGTTCAACAGAACAATTGAAAATTTTGTCATTTTGCAAGTGATAATGTTGTTTTTATACGATTATTCAGTTTTAACTTTAACAAATCTCAGCATATCAATTGTCAAAATTCACAAACGCTAATGTAAACACAGAATATTTTTGAAAGAAATAATGAAATTTATTCGAAAAAGAATCGAACAATTTGAAAAACAACGAAATATCAAACTATGTGGTGTCACACTCTTAAAAAGAACTTCATCCAGCCGCAGTCTGATTTCAACTGAGTATACATTACTGCAAACATGTCTTATATGACGAAAGTAAATGCTTTATCAGTCAGGGTTCATCATCTTTTCCAAGAAGTTGAAATGAAAAGGCTATCTTTCAATATTAAGTCAATGTTGATAAAGGTACTATTTCCTAGCGACCGATTTTTGTCACCGATTTAAGTGGGTTATTCGGAATTTTGGGTATAACTTCTGAGCCACTAAACAGATTTTAAATTTTTTTTTTCTGAAAATTGTAATCTGCATCTTTTTAAGCCGATCTTGACCGATCATCAGCATTTTTGCTATATTTGTCGAACCACTTGATGAATTTTCAAATAATATACATTCTTAACCTTCAGTCCGTGCTCTGGGCATACAGTGCCCGAGGCAAATTTTAAATGTAAATACAAGTACTAAAATAAAAAATAGCTACCATAAGTGTATTACCATTCGATAGCTTGAACCTTTTGCTACCCACCAGTAAAATTTTATGTTGATATGTGTAAGCATATGTGAGATATGTATGTTTGTAAACACATGTGCACCGTACGTGCTCTGGGGTATACAGTGCCCGTAGTGAATTTTGGTCCAAAACTCCACTAAGATTAGAGATAGCGACTTGAAGTCTTCAGCGAATTTGTTGTATTTGAGGTTCGCTAAATTTTTGCTGAAGACAGATATCACTTATCTCTTATCAATTACGCGGAATCCGCGAAAAACGCCAAACACGCAAATACATGGTTTATTATTTTTTACGGAACTGATAAAATATAACGAAATGGTGTCTTCAGCAAAGTTGTAGGGCAGGTTAATTGCAACAACATTGCCGAAGATATCAAGTCGTTATCTCTTATCAGTTACGCGAAAAATAATAAGAAAAAAATCGCGTTTCCCGCGGTTTTTCGAGAAACTGATAAAGGATAACGACTTGATATCTTCAGCAATGTTGTTGCAATTGATCTGCCCTACAACTTTGCTGAAGACACCATTTCGTTATCTCTTTATCAGTATAGTGGCTTCGTTATGCTTTGGCCAAAGCTTGTCTGAGAATCGACATTGTCGCTTCTCGATTTATATGTCCCGTACAGTGTTATCATTCTTTATTTGTGTTGCGCCTGAAAGAAAAAAATGACGAAAAATATTTGAAATTGCAGTGAAATGTTACAAAATCAAAAAAAAAAGTGCACAAAATTGGATGAATTACTCGCAATATAACTTTGTAATCCGCATTGCATCCTCGTCTAATACCATTGATTTTACATGTAAAATAACAACAAGAAACGACAAAAGTGACCTCTCGTAGCGGCACAGTTAAAACTAACCAAACAAACACAATTGAACATGTCATTTTCATGTTCAGTGTTAGTTCTGTTGTTTGCCGTATAGCCGGAGAGAGATGTCTACAGCTTAGTGGCGTTGAATGACATTCAACACCCATGCCGCATTGTCAATTTATCGAAAAGTAGCTCCAGAAACGCCAGGCAATTCATTTGGACTATCCACAGAACTCTGAATTGAGAAATATTGAGAATATTTTCTTAGAAAGACAAATCTGCTTAGATAAAATCGTTAACTCACATCAAAACTCACTGTCCTTCTTTGAGATGAATGTCAAAAGTCAATTTGCCGCTTCCTTGATATTGATTTTAGGTCAACGGTAATTTGTCCCAATCTGATTTACTGCAAGCAGAGAATGAAATGAGCATTTTCGATTTGAAAGTCTTTGTTTCAATATTTACTCGAAATTGATAGAGTTAACCGTAAAACACACGCCTCTATATAATGAATGAACTGACACTTGAATAAATCGCTGCAGTTTTCAAAGCGTCGGTTGTTGAATTGAATGTTGCTGAACAAATCATTGCAATACGGGAATAGCTGAAAATGATAAGGGAATAATAGAATGAACCGCATTTAGATGATCGAATAAATGCAAACCAGTTGCTTTATTGTCTCGATATCCACACCACAAGTGCTGTTGATTGCATTCTTAAATCGCAATAATATGATATGAATAAGCATAGATCATGAGTTGTTCATAGAACTCAACGCAATATTTTCAATACAATATTTTTATGGCGTCTCCACTATACAACACGGATGATAAAAGCATATTCATAGCTTGACGCATGAAAATGGATAAATCTAAAATGGTCAGATATAGTCTAAATTGAACCGAAGACTTTCTAATTCGGCCCGACAAGAATGACAATTTTAGCAAATAATTGTATTCCAAATTGGCCAGATTAATTCCAAAAAATGGTCAGAGAAAATGATAATTTTGATAATGAAAATATATCACGACAGATCGTGTGCCATTTTGAATAATTGTATTGGTGTCTGTTGTAGTGACAGAATGTGACAGAACACAAATTAGAAGTCTCAGTTTAAATCTTGTTATTAAATTGCGCCATTACATGGAAAAGCTTTTACAGTTAATTTATCATGATGTAATAAATCCATTCAATCAAAGCTTAGATAATAATCCATTTCATAAATATTGTAGTGACCCGTGTGTAAATAATTTGTTTTATGCTGTGTTCAGTAGTCGATATTTAAAATGGTTTTGAACATTGAAATCCTTTTTAAACATTTTCGATGCTTTTTTCAGTTAAAATGTCATTCTTGATAAAAAAATTGTTGATTTTCGATGCATTTACAGTACAAAAATGTGGAATCGATATATTTTTGTAACACAAATCGACATTGAAATGAGTATCGTCATTGGAGCCGGTTGATTTTTCCATTTTTTCCACGGTTCCACAGACATTCAAATGTTCAGCGCAATTTCAATCGAAATAATAATAGAATTTCATTTTTACGCGAGCAATTTTCGAAAAATATAAACAATATTCAACAAAAAGGTTAATATCGACTATCAATCATTCCAAACGATGACATATCGATCGATATTTGATTGAATGCTTTTTCGCTTTATTATTATTACGATACTTTTCCGAAATTCACTTAAAGTAACAACCGAAATGGAACCACAAACAGGAACAAATAAAATTCATTCTAATTGAAACTATTCGTTGTGTTCCAATCGAAATATTCGAGAATTAGAATCGTTGATGAACGGTAGATAAACGATTCTCCGGATAGTTTCAGTTGGACACAAAAATTGAAGTGAAAATTTATTATGGTATTGATTGAATTCCCTTGAAAGACTCTAAATTACAAAGATACGCTCAATAGGAACTTGTGGTGAAACAACATAGAAGGTGACATCGGAACAACTCAGAAATTTCAAAGCATTGGTTAAAGAGAAAACAGAAGCGACAGTAAGTTATAAAAGAAAAAGTTACAAAATAAATAGGAAGCAGCTATCAATTTTGAAAAAAAAAACCTAAAAAATATCATGATTAAAAGATTAATTTTTTTCGCATTTGCTAGAGAAAGAAGAATGCTCAATTCATTTGAAATCCAAAAGAATTTTTGCTAAGTTTGAACATAAATAATTCAATATATGGCCAATGTTTAAAAAGTCGGCGCTCCACATGAAATTGACCGTTTTACAAAACTCTCAAGTGAATCAAGTGTGTGGAGACGACTGATTTCGTTTTGAGCGAAGTTCATTCTGAGTAAATTTTTCGATAGAACCGCCCAGCAGAACTGATCAAAATGAATTGATTGGAATTTTAAGTACGAAAATGATTTGAATAACAAAGTCGAGAATGACAAATAGTTTTTGTTGAAGGTTTTATTTTATTTTCAGTTTTATTATGTCTCTAAAATCTCTATGATATTCTTTTAATGGCATATTGTAATTTTTAATTTATTCTGGATTTAAAAATTAAAAACGTAAATTTAACAGAAACTTGAGTGAAAAATTGTTCTGAGGAACAAAATAGAGAATTGTTTTTTTTTCAAGTTATTCTAGATTTGTTTCCTTATGTTCACTGTTCACTAGGTTCTTCATGTGATTTCATCTTAACATCTTCAATGATTTCTTATACTGATTAAACAACTGAGGGAACACACATTGCTCTTCACAATCGCTTATCGAACCGAATAAGTTTCGATTGCCAAAGCAGCCGCCGTACGTGAAGCTTTTGCACTTGTTGGTCGATCGATCGTAATAAAAGGTGGGGAACGAGGCTCGGCATGGGCTGGCAATACCCGACGTCGGATCATCATAACACCCTGTATCTATGACATTTGATTAGAAAATTGATTACGTTAATTGAAGTAATTTGTAATTTACTGAATTTGTACGAGAATGAAATGTCAACATGTTCTTGATTGATTTTTATTTTTCTTTCCTTGTTGATTTTGAACTTATGAATTTGAGAATTTATAAAAAGCTATAGGTAATGTTCATCAGCTATTGAGTGAGTTTGATTACCATTCTGAACCGGTAGAGATGAAATCAGACACAGAATCTGTGTCAACACTATGAATGTAACGAGAACGAATTTCATTTTGTTTTTCAAAAATGTTGAATTAAAAAACCAAATTTATCGAAAATTGGCTTCAATTTTTAAACAGAACCAAATTGAATTTAAACTCGAAAGCAAAAAACTGTGACTTTTAACGACACAGTGTGTTGCATTAACACTGAAAAAATGTCTTTAACTAAAAACAGCAGTCAAAATCGAACGATGTTTTATGAATTAAAACAAAAAAAAACAGTGTGAAAACGAAAAAAATTGAGCATCGACGTCTATGCGGCACCGAGTCATCTGTGAAACTAAAAGTGATAATTTATGAATTGAGAAACCGACACACAATAGAAGCGAAGCAAATCAAATAAAAAAACCAGAATTTCCAGATGACGAGAGAACACGGCAAATATTTACTCAAACAGAAAAAAGTGATAGTGAGTCGTTTGAGCAAATCAGCTCACGAATTCATTAATATATTCCGTGTTTATCCACAGCGATGACGCTTGGAATGATAAATTCGTTCGACGTATTCATTTCAATGACATTGTATTTTGCATAAACTTGATTTGTAACGATAAGGCGTGTAAGGCTTCGACGCTTCATTTGATTCATAGTGTTAAAGTTTTTTTTATAGATAAAGCGATGAAGAAGACATTGAATGAAACGTTGACCTAACGAATTGTAAGAAATTTGGTCTTTTAAAGGTATAAGTAGTGTTTATATTGATGAGTACGTTGAAATATTCTGTTTACATTATTTTGAACGAGAAGAAGCTTTGAACAAAACAAAATATACGAGTTTTTTTTCTTATAGAGTCACCTTTTGCACAATATCATGGCAATTGAATGCTCTGTCAAAAGTTTGTCAATAAACTGTTTTTTGTTCCGATTTTATCCGAAAACACTGCTCTCTTTGTAATAGCCATTCGATGGAGTAGACTAAACTCAGCTTCAATTGTTTCATCAGTCAAATTAAATCATACACAAATACGATGAATTCTTCTCAATTGAATGTTCAATATAGGTCAAGGCCAAAGAATTCAAATAGCAGCGAAAATGGAATTTTTTCTTCTCAAAATTTCATTCATTCTGATTAGAAACAGAATAAATTCTAGATTGGATTGCCAATGATTGAAGCCCATTCAATTTGAATGTTCAATTCATGTATTTGATCCAGTTCGATACGGTCAACTTCACACCTGATCTGCGTCGCCTGCACAAAAAATGTCATCAATGACAGAACCAAAGTGGCGCGCAACATTGTCAGCATAGTCATTGAATTACGTCGTATTAGAGCACACAGTAGAAGGAGGTGAACACGAGTAGACGACTGTCATTAGAAGAAGTTGAAAAAATCAGGAAATTGATCAATTTCGAATGATTCGAATCATTTGTGTGTTCGGCTAACGAAGTGAAAGGTGAGTTTTGGGGAAAAAATTGATTTTTATTATAATAAACTATTCCATATTAATATGAAATGGATCGAAAAGTGTAAAAGTCGCTTTGCAAAGATGAAAAAACGATGTAAAATTGGCTAACGCAATTTCATAGCCGATTTCATCAAAAATTCAATTTCAGCTCAGTCGTCTCCCAATGAAATTCAAGTTAGAAAAAGTATCTTTGATGATAATATTCAATTTGGCTGAATGTGTGGGACATTCATTCTTTTCTCTGCGACAGATAAAATTTGTGTCTAGAAACTTCGAAACTTCTTTGTTCAGTTCACCTTGAAACTTTGGTTATGTTACTTCATGTTTCGCACTTTGTTCGTCAATTGTCATTTGTGAATATTGGATTTTCATTATGTGTGTGTGTGTGTGTATGATTCACTGTGTGGCAGACATAAGTACATCTTCGTACCGTTTTTAAGAATTGAATCAGCATAAATAAAAAAAACTTTTTATGAAATTATTACAAATCACAATTACATTCGAATGAATGTTTTCAATAGATTTGTTACTCTTCAAATTGTATAGGAACATTGAACCACGATGAATCCGTATCGAAGCAAAGGGTGTTGTAGCAGCAACAATACTAAACGTAAACGCAAGCGTTCATCGGTAGACACAATAGTCGAAGTGAAAGTGAAGCAAGATGTAGTTGTCAAAGAGGAGACAGTGGACAAAGCAGAAATGGTTGATATTACACGGCCACTGCGACAACCACCATCGACTGAAGCGACCGGCATGGTCAAATCAGAGGCTGAGACCGACAGCGAAGTCGATTTTGAATACGATATTGATTGTGTGAAGGGAGAGGTGAAAAGTGAAAACGGATGTGTGAAGAAGGAATGCGGTTCATCACAAGGTGCTAGCTCCTCCGATGGTGGTGACAATCTCGACGATATAGCGGCAGATGCAAGCAACGCAGGACCAAGGTCAAACAGCCGAGAAAAGCACAAGCGTGGATCGAAACGAGAAAATATTACGAATCAAAAGAAGCAAACCAATGCCAAGGCATCGAAGAAAACAGCGGTAAAATACAATCTCACACAACACATTCGAGTCCACACCGCTGAAAAACCATTCGTTTGTGAAGTGTGCGCAAGATCTTTTGCATGGAAAAGCAGTTTCAAACGCCATGAAAAAACCCACGGTCCTCCATTGGCATTCCGTTGTTCAGAGTGTCGTCGAGGATTTGCTCAAGACATCGATAAAACCGACCACGAATCCAAATGCCAGCAGCGTCAGTACGTGTGCTACGCGTGTAAACATATCGCACCTTATGTGTTCAACTTGAAGCGTCACATGCGAACGCACAGTGGACAAAAGCCTTTCGGGTGTTCGGTTTGTTCTAGAATATTTGCAGAAAAAGCTAAACTTCGCGATCATTCACGCACTCACGTTGAACAGCTTCCATTGGCCTGCTCAAAATGTGCTCAACGATTCGCTGAGGCAAATGAGGAACGGTCACATGAGAAACGATGCATCGGTCGTAGATTCGAATGTTATTTGTGCCAGTACGAATGTTTCCAGAAAAGTCATTTGAAGTACCATATGCGATCAAAACACACGGGCGATAAGCCATTTAAATGTGCAGTTTGTGAAATGGAATTTTGTCAGAAGTTTGGACTGGAACGTCATTTGGCCACACATACAAAACCACATCCAATACGTTGCTCCAAATGCTGGGTACGATTCACAGACGAAGACAAAAAGAATGTGCACGAAGCACAATGCAATCGCCGCCTTCGCCAATGCTACTTGTGCAAAGTGAATACAATTAATTCAATACACCTAAAAAACCACATGCGAGCTCAGCACACCGGAGAAAAACCATTTCAATGCGAACTCTGCGGTGCTCGATTTGTGCGGAAATTCGATACGGCTCGCCACATGACACGCCACCATGGTTTGAACAGCCAAATTTAATTTTGCATAAAAAATCGGAATATATTCACTCACTACGTGCTTCCATGCTTTCCATCCAGAAAAAAACGAACTAAATAACAGAAGACACAACGAAATAAAATAACTTTACTCAGTATTCACAGACAACTAATGATATTTTTTGTCTATAACTGACACACAACAAATCAGATTGAATAAAACAGCAGACACTCTCATATGACATTGTCTAAACTTTGTGTTCCGATCAATTTATGCTTTGAACCATTTCCTTTACTTTCCATCTAATCGAATCTAATTCCATTCAATTCAATGTAAAATGAAGTCAAAACTTGTAACTCATGGCACAGAAATGGAAATAAAGTCTCCCAACTTCAGAATAACAACTAATTTGATTTTTCTTCCATTTTTTCATTGATTTCTTAGTGAACCTGCAAAAAATAACTGCTTTTGGCAAAGTAGTTGAACTTTTTATGGGAATCGTTTAAATTCACAATGCTCCAACTAAAAGCTAAATCTATCTAGGTCTCAGACTCATTTGTTCATAAATGCACATGCTGTTCATTGAAATTCGTCCAAGTGCTTCAAAAACCATTCATTTTGATTGTAATTGAAAAGATAATTTGCCCAAAGATAGAAAGAATGCGACATATGAACTCAATTCGGATGGTTTGAAATTCAAGCATTGAATATGCATGAGCCTAGTGAATATTGAAGTTCTGATTCTGATTTATTCTTTCTTCATGCTTTGACCTAGAAGAGTGTCGATGAACGATCATGTATCGGTCCGTATTCAAGAAAATCCAAGAATAAAATTTCATTGATGAAGTTCTTGTTCTACTGGGGCTCATTCATCTCTGTTTCATTCTAAACTTTTCAAAATTTTCATTTTTCGTTACAAGTTGATCAAAATCGATGTGGATCCAAAAGAACTTCCAAACGATTCGGAAAATCCCAAAGGAATGTCAACTTTTGATATGATATTTTCAAACAATTTGCCAAACTCCAAATTGTTCTTCAATTTTCATCAAACTTCAATGACAAATCAAATTGAGACTTTTCTCCAGAGAAAACCAAGCTCAGTATCATTTTCAAAATGATCGAACATGATGTTCGGAATATCAGTTTGGAAATGTGTCTGTTTATACTGGAAGCAAATCTTGAAGATGCTGATAATAAGACAGAGCTTAATGTGCACAGGGATACTAACATGGAAATTTGATCAGCCTTCGATAAAAGATAGAAAAATTGAAGAAAAAAAAGTTTGAAATCAAAACAGATTTTTATTTCGAAATTGAACAAATGATTGCGACCAACTTCACTCCAATGCGTAGTTTCATGTAATGTCAACGAAAGCAATACGCATTGCGTTGTTTTCACCACATTCATTTAGCTACGTTGATTCAATCGCACACAGTAAAATGAGTCTATCGCAAGCAGACGTTCATACGAAGAAGAAGCAAATAAGAAAATCTCTGTCACTTTGTTGCGTCGATTTGTGTCTTACCGAAACAAATCAAAAGGTAAGTTTTAGGAATATTCTCAATTTTATTACATTTCTTCTTGCTTGGAGACTTAGGATATAGCAACAATTGAACAGAAACTCCATTGCAAACAAATAATTTGATGTGAATTTATCTCACGAAATTGAGTAGAGAATTTGATAGCAAAAAAAAATTAGAATTTTCATTTTTCATGTGATTCAGTTTAGAAAATAAAATTTCATACAATTGTACTACTGAAAATTGGAATATTGATTTTCTAGTCCATTCAAAACATAGTTTCAGATTTTCGTTTAAAATACAAGTGTAGAAGAAACTTTGTCCACTCTACTTCTTCTTCTTCTTTGAGTTCTTCAAGAAACTTTGGTTATGTCTTTTCATGTCTCACACTTTGTTCAACAAATGTCATTTGTGGCTCACGGTCTTTCGTTGTGTGTTCAATTGACTGTGTGGCAGACATACAGTACTGATTTTAGGAATTCAAGCATTATTCATTGAAACGAAAAAAGATCTCTCGAAAAAAATTGGCACAAATTGAAATTACATTCGAATGAAGGAATGCACGATGTGTCAATGTCGAGTCTACAACAACTATTCAATTTATTTCAGTTTTATATGAACAATTCACGATTGCAAATGAAGCAATGTTTGGAAGAGCTTTGAATGTAGATTTATGCATTTGGAATTGAATTGAAAGTGACAGCATTTTGATACATTTCTTTGCAGATTGTCGTACGTGAAGTCACAATGAACCCGTTCTAATGTAAAGGTACTGACGGTGGCAACGTCAAACGAAAGCAAAGCCGAAAATCAGCGAGCAAAAATGTCGAAATCAAACAAGAGGTGGTGGTGGTGAAAGAAGAGCCAAGAGATAATGTAGAAATGGTTGATGTTAGTCGCCCAACACGACAGCTACTATCAATTAAAGCAATTGATGTGGTCAAATCAGAGGCTGAGACCGACAGCGAAGTCGATTTTGAATACGATATTGATTGTGTGAAGGGAGAGGTGAAAAGTGAAGACGGATGTGCGAAGAAGGAATGCGGTTCATCACAAGGTGCCAGCTCTTCTAATGGTGGTGACAATCTCGACGATATAGCGGCAGATGCAAGCAACGCAGAACCAAGGTCAAACAGCCGAGAAAAGCACAAGCGTGGATCGAAACGAGAAAATATTACGAATCAAAAGAAGCAAACCAATGCCAAGGCATCGAAGACAGCAGCGGTAAAGAGGCACAAGAAGCACATGTGCCATTTTTGCAATTACGCTGCATCAGTGAAATCAATTCTCACAGCACATATTCGAGTGCACACTGGTGAGAAGCCATTCGTTTGCGAAGTGTGCGCAAGATCTTTTGCATTGAAAAGTAATTTGCGTCAACATGAAAAAACTCACGGTCCTCGATTGGCATTCCGTTGTTCAAAGTGTGGTAGAAGATTTGCTCAAGAAATCGATAAAACCGACCACGAATCCAAATGCCAGAGGCGTCAGTACGAATGCTACGCGTGCAAGTACAACAAATTCCAATTGGCATTCATGAAGCGTCACATGCGAACGCACAGTGGACAAAAGCCTTTCGGGTGTTCGGTTTGTTCTAGAACATTTGCAGAAAAAGTTACCCTTCAACGTCATTCACGCACTCACGTTAAACAGCTTCCATTGGCCTGCTTAAAATGTGCTCAACGATTCGCAAAACAAAACGACAAGCAGTCGCATGAACAGCGATGCACACGTCGACGATTCGAATGTTATTTGTGCCAGTTCGAGTGTTTCCAGGAATGTGATTTGAAATACCATATGCGATCAAAGCACACGGGCGATAAGCCATTTAAATGTGCAGTTTGTGAAATGGAATTTTGTCAGAAGTTTGAACTGGAACGTCATTTGGCCACACATACAAAACCACGTCCAATACGTTGCTCAAAATGCTGGGTACGATTCACAGGCGAAGACAAAAAGAATGTGCACGAAGCACAATGCAATCGCCGCCTTCGCCAATGCTACTTGTGCAAAATGAATGCAATTGATTCAATACACCTAAAAAGCCACATGCGAGCTCAGCACATCGGAGAAAAACCATTTCCATGCGAACTCTGCGATGCTCGATTTGTGCGGAAATTCAATGCGGCTCGCCACATGACACGCCACCATGGTTTGAACAGCCAAATTTAATTTTGCATAAAAAAATCGGAATATATTCACTCACTACGTTTTTCCATACTTTCCATTCAGAAAAAACGAACTTAATAACAGAAGACACAACGAAATAAAATAACTTCACTCAGTATTCACAGACAACTAATGATATTTTTTGTCTATAACTGACACACAACAAATCAGATTGAATGAAACAGCAGACACTCTCAAATATCAAAAAATGGAATCTAATTCCATTCAATTCAATGTAAAATGAAATCAAAACTTGTAACTCATGGCACAGAAATGGAAATAAAGTCTCTCAACTTCAGAATAACAACTAATTTGATTTTTCTTTCTTTTTTTCATTGATTTCTTAGTGAACCTGCAAAAATAACTGCGTTTGGCAAAATAGTTGAAATTTTTATGGGAATCGTTTAAATTCAAACTAAAAGCTAAATCTATCTAGGTCGCAGACGCATTTGTTCATAAATGCATATGCTGTTCATTGAAATTCGTCCAAGTGCTTCGAAAACCATTCATTTTTATTGTGATTGAGAAGAAAATTTGTCCAAAGATAGAAAGAATGCGACATATGAACTCAATTCGGATGGTTTGAAATTCAAGCATTGAATATGCATGAGCCTGGTGAACATTGAAGTTCTGAATCTGATTTATTCTTTTTTCATGCTTTGACCTAGATGAGTGTCGATGAACGATCACATATCGGTCCGTATTCAAGAAAATCCAAGAAAAAAAGATTTCATTGATGAAGTTCTTGTTCTACTGGGGCTCATTCATCTCTGTTTCATTCTAAACTTTTCAAAATTATTCATTTTTCGTTACAAGTTGACCAAAATTCATGTGAATCCAAAAGAACTTTCAAACGATTCGGAAAATCCCAAAGGAATGTCAACTTTTGATATGATATTTTCAAACAATTTGTCAAACTCCAAATTGTTCTTCAATTTTCATCAAACTTCAACGACAAATCAAATTCAGGATAATTTGAAACTCTCATTTTACTAAGATGAAAAACAGAAATGAGCAATTATTATTTGTGGGGTCAATTTTGAGTTATGGGCATAAAAAACAAACTTTGAATTCATAAAAATTAGTGGCGCAGTATAGACAAAAATATGTAAAAAAATTTTTTTTACTAAAAATCGAACTGATCTGCCAAGGTCAAAAAGGGCACATGGCAGGTTTCAGCCGATTTCCTTTGAACAAATGATAACATCGACTGTACCAAAAATGATTAAAATTAAAAGTGTTTTCTAGATTTCAGAAAATGATTCATTTTCATATATAATGATTTTACCAAGCTCGTGTAAGCATAACTAAAAATATCACTAATCTTTGCTTTTTTTTTTTTTTGTTATGGAAACATTGGATTGAAGTAATATCACTGAATTAATCTATTTTTGTACACTGAAATATATCATTCAGTAAAGTGTTCGTGTTTTCGTGAACTTTTCTCCGTATTAGCGCTTTAAATGAACAAAATATCAAAATTCCTATGCAAAAGTATTCGGCTGAAATATTATCTAAGAGTTGTTCTTTTCGAAGAAATCCTTTATATTGAAATAGAGACTTTTTCAAAGCAATCCAAGGAATTTTTCAGAGTTATTTTATAAAAATGAAGGAACAATTTTGTTGCTCTTGGTTTTTATTCACTTGATGATGAAATGTTTGAACTTTTATTTACAGGTTGAAGATCTAATGTATCTTAAAATCATAGTTTCCAAACAAAAAGTCTTAAATTAAACAATGAAAATATAGAAAAATCTCTACTGTGTTATGGAAAAACTTCTTTTTGACTTAATTCACTTAAAATTCGAGATAGAATTCTATGATTAATATTCGCAGTTATTTGCTAGTTCTTAGTTTCGCTGTTGAGTACCTTACTTTATGTTAAACTTCGCAAATAAAATATTTCTGATAAAACCACGATGCATCGTTCCACTTCATGATGCCGTAATAATTGATCAATTCAACACAGTCATCGTTCACGCTTAAATAATTCAAGTCATCGGGTTGCCAGTTGGAGTATGTCATTGTCCGACCACTGCCAATCCAATAGAAGTTTCCGCTATTGCCAAAGTTTGTACCCGCTGTACAAAAGGAAGAATCCGACAAATCTACAAACGGAACAGAACAAAAAAAAGCAATGAAATCAATATTCACGAATACACTCGATTGAAATTTATTGAATCATTTTCTTAAATTTTCCTAGCAAACAATTTTCACTATTCTCCGAGAGAAAAGGTTATTTTTTCCTCTTACGTATACATAGACCTCCCATTCCCGATTTCTAGGCGGGAATTTCCCGATTTTCATCACGATTCCCGCCTTCCCGATTATTGGACCAAATTCCCGATTTGGGCCAAAATTCTCCTGATTTAAGTCTTTTTTTCTTAAAATGTCTTCATGGTATACAAATAAATCGTTTTTTCACTTACAAATAATTAATCTCTTTTTTCATAACTTTTCAGAATTTGAATCACGAAATACATTGATATCAACAATCAAATGTGGGCCAATTGCGTTATGATTTTTTTCTCCAAACAGTTTTGAAAACAGCTGTCGATTTTGCATTTGTCAGCAAAAATGATGTCTCCAGATTTTGAGTCATGGCGACTAAGCAAAACGTGCATTGAACAAAAGATAACACAAAATATCGATTAATAAACAAAAACTGTATACTCGGGTCTTTTGTTTGGAATGGGTATGTAAATCAGTATGTATTGCCAGACATGCTGTCTCCAACACCAGAACAATTATGTACTGTTGCAGTTTTGCTTGTCGCGATTCACACTTATTGTAATTTCAATCAGTGTGTCGTGTGATTTCATAAGCTATAGATCGAATAAATCTTTGCAAGAGAAAGTTGTTTTTGTTTAGCATGCCTCCCATAGACACAAAGTATTCTGTGCTCTGGGAGAGCGAGCCAATTTTCAGAGGATGGCTCTCTCGAGGCAGTATTGAGACTAAAGCAAAATGTCTTTGGTGTCCATCAGAATTTTCGGTGGCACATGGTGGCCGTACGGATGTGATGCGGCATATGAAAACGGATCAACACAAGCGCATGGAAAATGCAAAAGTGACCCAAAAATCTGTTGCTACAATGTTCAGTGAGTTTGTTTTTGAATTTTCTTCGAAATTTGTTTTTTCAATGAAATTGTATTTGTGAACTTTGAATATTCATTTGTGTTTGT